AGACACAGACAACAGAGGACATGCTCAAACCACTATTGTAGAATGTTTGTAAGTAGGGAATGAAGGGTACCTTCCGACTGGAAGAAGCGCTACCTTGTCAAACTCACAAAAAAGGAATACCTAAATCTCTGCAAAAACAAGAACTGGTGAGAAATCATGCTCCACTCCTGTCCACCCCGAGCAAAATATTAAGCCGTATCATCCTGGACAGACTAAAAAATGTTCTCCATTCAAAATTACGACCGGAACAATCTAGCTGACTGGCTTCAGGAAGAACAAATCATCTGGGGGTCGAATTGCGACGATACGCTATGCATCATCGTAGAAGAGAGCGTAGAAGGGCAGTCAACATTCTACCTCAACTTCATCGATGTTGAAAAGGTTTTCGAAAGCGTCGACCGAGAAGTAATTTAGCAGTTGCTTCAACACTACGGAATACCACAAACCTTTATTAATCTCATTGAACTGCTATAGGAAGACGCCACATAACAAGTGATTCACAATGGAAAGCTCAATGTTGCCTTTGAAGTGAAGACAGGAGTAAGTCAAGGCTGCAACCTACTATCACCCATGATATTCCTGATTGTGGTCGACTGGACTGGATCATGCACCAAACCGTGAGTAGCGAGAAAACGGGGAAACACTGGACCGATGAAAAGAGAATAGAAGATTTGGATATCGCCTATGATGTGTCTAATGTCGCACAAACTCGATCTGTTGGCAAAAAACAACAAGTTGGCAGAACAGGAGAGTCAGCGAAGACGGGACTTAAAGTGAATATCGAGAAGACAGAGGTGATGAAGATACCCAACCAACAACAACAAGCACCAATCACTATTAACGGGAGAAACGTAGAGGAAGTTGACTTTTTCACCTACCTAGGTAGCATCGTTTCAGCTACAAGTAGCGGAACAGGCACAGATAAGGATGTCAAAGCCTGGTTCGGAAAAGAAAGTCTTTAATAATCTGAAACCAGTGTGGAGATCTACTGGACTGCATTGCACTCAGCAGTATGTTATAGACAAGTAGATGGAATCGCAATGGGATAGCTATTAGGCCCAATGCTTGAAGACTTTCTTCTGGCCAAACTAAGGGAATAGACCGTTGATGAAAGACATCGACAAGCTAGATATGTATTACAGATACGTGGACGACACATTTATTATAATTGGTCAGAATATGGATCAGAACGAACTATTGAGGAAGTTTAACACCGTACATCTGTCACTTGCCTTCACTTATGAAGAAGAACAAGACGGTAGGCTGAATCTCCTTGATGTTCCATTAAGTAGACGAGGAGATGGGTCGGTTCACAGAAGCGTGTGCAGAAGAAACAAATCTGGTTGTAAATGCACACACTTCCTTACTTTCACTCCTATACGATACAAAAGAAATTTGGTGAAATGATTGATAGCCAGAACAAGGAAAATCCACTCAGGTGATACTCTGCAAAGTAAGTTATAGTGGATTTCGAATTCATTCACGGGAATGTTATCCTCACAATTTTATAAAAAAGCATGAATAGACCGGTGGAAATACCTGAAGCAACAATCACTAGAGAAAAACCACTATTCATAAAGCTACAGTTTAATAGCGATATACTTAGTGAGATTCTATTCCACAGATTGTCGAGAACCATTAAAAGAACTTTTTATGCATCTAACATCTGTCTATCGTTTTCTAGTTGAAAATTAGTTTCTTATCAAACGAAGGACAAGTTACCTAGTTTCGCCATTTCCATGTGTATTTATCAGTTTAATTACTCCTGTGGAGACAGTTATATCGGGCGTATGATTAGGCAACTTAACAAATGTATTGCCGAATACCCACCTTCGTGGCTGAGTAAAGGGTAGATTAAATCTATAGGAAGCTCTATTTTGTCGCATCTAGTTGATAGTGATTACAGAGTACATAAGACGAAAATGTTCAAAGTGATTTATCGCATGCCACTGAACCTTTCAGATGAAGTTTGAATCCGGCTTTTACATATAGCTGAGGCTATGGGAATTCTAATAAACAATCCAAAGCTCTGTATCCAGAAGATATTTGTACAGCCTTTATCCTTACCTTGGCTAGAGAGGACCTAATGAATGACGTTACTTATGAATTTTAAAATATACGTCTGCTTTTTATTTTTATTTCATTTTGTCACCCCTTTTACACCACTACCATATTCACATTCAGCTCTTATTTATTCACTGCCTTCAACCTCCAGCATCAAACAACTTTATTGTCCTTTAGCGTTTTTTAATCTTTCACCTACTTTATCTGTCTATCTGTCTGAACACCTTTTCACATTGTCGTGTCATTATGAACATTCGTACTAACCTTTTTACAATCCATATTCCTTGTTGTCGTTGCCCTACAAATTACTTTGATTGATTGATATTTTACAAATATTTTAAAAGTTATGTATATTAGAGTGAAGCTTGATGAGATCTAACTGAAAAGAATATTGTTCGCTTGCATGTCTTGTTGTAATCTTTAAAAGGTGTTGACAGTTCTTTGTTAGGTTATTCATGTGAAAACTCGGTTATTTGTGATACTATCCCTTCAAAAGGAGGTGTATGTGCTTAGTTTCATCTAAAAATGCCTTTTTACTAAACGCGACACTCAGAATTCGTTCGCATGGCTTTTATTTGAATAAATTTATATCTTCCTCGAAGTACTCAGAGAAATACTAATAGGCAGCTAGACGGACAGACGTGGTTACAGGAAGACAAGATCAGAATGGAACCAGGCATTACTACCACACCCCATGAGCATATGAAGAGAGAACACATTCAAATGATGTATAAAGAAATCGAAAATAAAATAGTTGATATTTTTAGAAAGGCGTGATAAGATAACTTAGAGGAATAAGAAAATGCTGTATTCAGTATGACGATTAAGATGAGGATAATATGTAGATGCAAACGCACCACTGAGATTGATTCTGAGCCACATCACTTGGAGTCTCCAATCGCCTTTTTCTTCTGTTATTACGTGGACCCAAGCCAGGAAGTCCACATTTTTGTACATGGATCAGACCAGCAGTCAAAGATTTCATGCAGTCATGCCATGTTTTGGTTCGACTGTTCTTAACTCTTTTCGAGTCTACATCTACTTCAGCTAATGTTTTAGTACGAGGCAGACGATGATTAACAATGTGTAACATGTTCCAGCCACCTTAGTTGGTGAATGTGCACAACCACATCTGGTGACTTTCCTCTGCTCCCTAAAACTCTTCACCTGATTTCGACGTTACTCACACGGTGACAAGACTACACACTGCTCATCTTTCGAAGGCAATAGTGTTCAAATATGTGAAGCATTCTCATGTCTTCTACTTTCAATTACCATGTTTCACAGCGATATGATAGAACAAAGCGAACTGCAGAGCTATACACTAAACCCTTGGTAGACAGTTGGGTGTCACGGGGGCTTCCCATGTAGTGTTAGATGGCGAAAGCCGGATAAACTTTTTGTATTCGTGGAGTTATTTTGTCGGTCACTGACCCACCAGGGCTGATCAGACTTTCCAGGTAAGTGAAGTGGTCAATGCACTCAACAATTTCACCCCCTATTGTTTCAATGTGGCACCACTGAAGCCCATTTTTGGAGCAACAATTTGAATTTCCATGTTTGCCTAGAGTAATGTAGAATCTGACACGCTGTTGCATTGTTCTGGGTTATAAACGCTTCAAAGTGCAGAAAAATTTCAACAATGGAAATAGAATAGTGATGTGATCCAGGAGGATATGAATAATGAAAATCCTACTGCGACTCAGGCTTTCTTTCCAAAGTTTATCATCTTCCGTTCACACTAAGATGTAAAATAACACGTTGAAGGTTAAAACGAAAAATAGCATATTCACATATTTCATTGTCTCCTAATACTTCCAAGCATGGACGTATAACATCTTATAGCCAGCCAGACGTTCAAAGGTTTTTATTGAGTCAAACTAACAGCCAGAAACTTCAGGGTATACTCTTATGTCTCTGCTTAAATGTTTTGGGATTAATCGTCTACTGTAATAAGAAGAAATGGACACAGCTGATAACCCGCTATTTACTACATATGACCCATCAGCAAGTACGCTAAGATTATCGAAGTCAAAAGAGCTATCTTTGCGGACTGAAAAGGTGTATCTGAATTCGCCAGTTAAAAGAGATGACTTACACAAAGAAGTCTAGTGGTTAGACGAAAACACTATGTAACAATACCCTATGCTTCTGAGCACCACCAATTATATATTACGACAATCAGCAAAAGATTTAGTTCCAGTTATCGACAATTCCAACTACATGTATGATAATTAACATGTGTTTGGGAAAGTTGTGGCATAGTCATTTAAAGAGGTTAGTGCCTCTCTTGCTCGAATGACTAATGCATACGGAAGCCGAAATTTTAAAAAGTTCAGTACTGACCTTTTTCTTGATTGCAGACAGAATTGACGTCACCAGATTGTCTCAGTTCACCTCTTTTGCTTGTTTAAGCTTTACATCGAAAAGAAATTTCCTCATCGTATAACTCACTCAACTTCAGTTTGTGTCGCTGTAAACCTAGTCTTGTTTGTTTATTTAAAATACAAACTGGGAACAGCATGAATACCAAGAAAGACCATAAACTTGTTCTCAGCATAAGCCAATTTCTGCCCCTAGCATGTGCCAGCATGGCTTTGAAAATACTTGTGATCAAATAAACTGTAATCAAATACCATTTGAATGCAATGACTCTCAAAGGAAATAGCATGTTGCCAGTGCCACCTAAATTCTTAATGCGTATTGTAGCTATCTATCATGGTAGTCATCTGTTTTCTGCTCCACTCCCCTTGTGAATATAAATGTGTGGTCAGATTGTTCGAAATGTATTGCGCAAATACATCACATTGCTCAGATAAACTTCGTCTGCTAATTACGCTATCGGAATATTTTACTGTTCACATCTCCTTACTCTATATTAGTAATTAGCATGACGGCAATATACAAATATTTTTTTGTTTCACTATTTTCTTTAGTGTTTCTGGATGGACAAGTGACAGTTTATTAAATGATGCTCGAAATATGTTGCAGGTAATTTTTAATTCATTTGTTGCTATGATACATACTATGTGACAAGTCTAGATTTTATTTTTACAATGGCTCAAGAGTATCTAACAATGCTTGTTCTCATTTGACTATCTGAGACAGCCGTAGTTTCGCAGACTAGTATTTATACTGGGTGGTGATTGAAGGTGAAATGAAAATTTGGCCTGCGGCTGGATTCGAACCAGCATCGCTAACCTGTTGAAGATGGTGTCACGGAGGTGATTAAAAAGTTACACATCATGTACTTAAAACCATTGATACATTCATCAGAACGTTACCTGTGGTTGTGACATTATTCTTTAAAGGGTGATTATATATATATATATATATATATATATATATATTATTTATATATATTATATATATATATATATTATATCATATTACATTATATTATATTATATTCACGTAGATATCTGATGCATATCTTGTAGAATGATGCAGATTTTTAGACAATAGAGCATCACCTTGAAATAAGCTAACCATCTAAATAGCACATAGTATATCATCGGAAAGGAAAACTAAGTTAGATTCGACTTCAGAAAAAGTATGAGTGAGCTAAGGGTAAACACAATTGTTAACGGACGATAAAAAGATCGATGATTATATTTCATTTTGGTCACTTCTAAATTTTATCTGAATCACATGAACTTTAGCTAAAAAGTCGAATGTCCTGCATTCATTTCAGATTAGCATTTACTGCTTTTGTGGGTTGATGAGACATCTTGTGACCGTTGTGATTCATGCCCAGGCCATTATATCGTTAAGGTGAAACATCGGATGAAAAAATCCGATTACATGCTCTACTAAAAATTACTAACTGACTTTCTGAAGTGTGTGTGTGTGTGTCTGTGAAAGGTATATTTTGCAGCTGTCACCACTGAGTCAATAGAAGTTGGAGGTTGTATAGAGTAGACTGAGTGTGCAATAGTACTCTGTTGCTTATAGAGATTTTTACGTTGTCTTTCTATAAGATTTGAAGCGTGTAACTCTATTCTTACGGTGATTATAGTAGGAAAATACGGAGATAGAGGAGTCTCAAGAGAATTATGGGGATAAAATATTGGATTAGTTGTGAAGGATTGCGAAAAAGTAACACTTGTCAGTATTTATTCAGTTATGATAAGGTGGATGTTGCACTTTTGACATCCCAATAACTCTTACTTGCAGTTGATTTCCACATACATTTTAGATCATTTTATTCTATCAACCATAATACTTTAAGTGAAATTGTAGTTATAAGTTTGGAAGTCAACTTCATACAGTTCAAAGGTATATTTAAAACTGTAGTTCCTCTGTCTTTGCATTTTGACTTCAGTCGATGATTCATCGGTTCCAAATGTGCTCATTCTACTGAGATTTGGGCAACCACCTAGTATCATCTACAGAATAAATACGGGTCATTACCTATTGCAGGAACCTGCACATGGTAGCTGATTAACACATATATTGAGAAATTTTTAAACCGCCTGATATCTATTTTTACTTTCTATTTTCCCCTTAACCATTTAAAGTTAATAACATTTGTTTATATTGCTATTACAATATTTAACAGTTTTTAATTTATGGAGATTTAGCATATCATAAATTAATTTCATATTTATTTTAAAACAGTACATCTATTTTTTGCAATGGTTTATCTATTTTCGGGGGGAAATAAGAGCAACAAACTGAATTCACTCATATCAGGTTATAATTATCAGCGACCAGTATACTATGAGTTCTAACCCTGTTTCTTGTAGCTAAGTTTATGTATATAGGCAATATTATTAACATTCTTACAAATGGTATGGCTATATAGTTTAGTAAACAAACTTTGTTCAGGTTGCAGAATCGCAGATTTGTTTATCTATTTGTTACCGACAAGATTTATAGGTGTTAGGTTTTTTTTCTAATCTGTTTCGTGATATTGAGTGTTCTTAATCCAGTATCCAGTAGAAGTACTTTATTGTTTCATTTTCGTGAAGTCGATTTGGATTTGGTAATTTTAATGGTCAAACGAGCATACTTAAAAACTTCTGTGTATTCTTTCCTAAAGTTACCTTTCCACAAACTGATCTTTGACATTTTCCACTTCACTGAGGTTCATAATTATGTAAGTATTTCCAGATATTATAGTTATCTACTTTCATTCACTCATGTTTACTTGATACTAAGACTTTGAATTTTAGGTGGTCCTCATATTATATTTTTCTACGATAGTTTATAGTAAAGCATTATCAAAGGCATAAACATAAATTTAACCCGTTAGAATTAATCGGGACTCTATATGAGTAAACTATGCTATTGTGTCGATAATTTGTACTCCTACGGTTTAACTGGTGTTTCATATTGAAGTGATTAGTCACTAATGGCAATTTGATTATCTACATTTCGATAATATTGGGAGGTGGGGGTTACTAAAATTGAAATCTGTAACAGTCATGCAGTTTTATTTGAGATTTATGAGTTGTATTTGTTTGCATTTCATGAGATAGTTCTTTGATTTTTCGTAGTAATAGATACTGGATTCTGTTTTCGGTGATAAAACAAACATGAGTGTTGACTAATTAAATTGCTACTCCTCATAGTGGGTAGATTCTAATGCTAACGACTATAAAATGAAAGAATACGGTTCAATGGCTATTTATTTTCATCCAAACGTCACAGATTGGGTAGTGAAGCGAAGCTTTTATACTTTTATAGGCTTTGTCAGTAGAGCGAATCTGAAATCTTAAAGTGATTAATATTGCTTCAAGAATTTCATGCTACATCATTCACTGTTGAGTATTTGTGCGTAATTCTGGTTATTGTTATGAAACGTGAACTAGATTCATAGATTCTCGTTGATTATCTTCAACAGTCAAACAATAACTATACAGTATCACTAAGTCAAATTACTGAGCCAGCTAACTGGATGTTTTCATTAGATTCACCGCAGTGAAGACAAAAGTAATGTTAGTTAGCATAATTACTATTTATTATTATTTGTCCTTTGGGTTCCTAGTGAAATATAAGGCTTCGGTAGCACATCTCCATCCCACTCGGTTCTCTGCAAACTTTTGAACCTGGCTCCCTGACAGCCCACAAGCTCTCATTTCTTCCTCACACGATCTCCTCCATGTCACACTCGCCTCGAACGCCCAACTCGTCGCTTCTCATCGGGGTTCCACTTGATACTCTCGCATGGTGCGTGATGTCCCCAGTCGGACTTCTCTGTGTATGCCCAATCCATCTCCACTTCCTTCTGCATATTCGTTGGGCGATAGATAGGTTGTTGGTTGGTTTGTTAGCAGGCCAGAGTTCGTTGTTGCTGATTCTTTCTGACCATGTGATCTTCAGTAACGAGCCAGCGTAGGCAGTTGTTGATGAATGTCTGTAGTTTGTTGGAAATCCCTTTCATAACGCGCCAAGTCTCTGAGTAATACATGAGCACTGATTTGACGTTGGTGTTGGAAATCCGGATCTTGTTCCACATGCTGAGTGAAGTGCAGAAGGTCTCCACACTGGTTTCAGGCTAATGAAAGCCTGTCTTGCTTTCCAATCCCAGCTGGCTTTGACGTCCCCGTCTGTGCCGCCTGTAGTTGAAACGATTCTGCCTAGATAGGTGAAAGGGGCTACTTCCTTTAAGTTTCTCCATTGATGGTGGTTGGAGCTTGTTGTTGTTGTTGTTGGTTGGGTATATTCATCACCTCTGTCTTCTCTACTTTCACTTGAGGTCCCATCTTCGCTGCTTCTTCTGTCAACTTGTTAGTTGTCGCCTGTAGATCTTCAAGTTTGTGTGACATTGGACATAAGTCATCGGCGAAATCGAAATATTCTAGGTTCTTTTCCGTGGTCCAGCGTATCCCCCTCTTCTCGCTCCTCACTGTTTGTTGCATGATCCAGTCCACTACAATCAGAAATATCAAGGGTGATAGTAGACAACCTTGTTTCACTCCTGTCTTCACTTCAAAAGCATCACTGAGCTTCCCATTGTGAATTTAGTTAGCATAATGTGACCAATATATGAAAGAATTTGTGCTTGTAACTTTTACAAACCTTGGTAGATAGGGGACATATGTCAAGCATTCTTCGTCGTTCTCAAACGTTTTCATCCTTCATTTCCTTTTTTTCTACATTGAATACAGAAGTGTAACGATTGTAAGCTGAATGAAGATATTGTAAGTCAAGGATTTTCATGGATTGATCCGAAAAGTATGTCCATTTTTGCAAGTGAATCAGCTACAAAATTGAACTCTTCACCGGACGCGTAAAACCGTAAAGTTGTACACATTGTTGTTATTATTTTCTTTCACTAGCATTCTCCACAGCTTATTCCATATCGCAACATTTTAAATGTTTTTGTTTTTTAATTGTATATAACAAATAATAGTAGTATTATTGATAATTTACTGATTTAATTATAATACTGACTATGAATTTAGATAAACTGTTATCTGTAATGCTATCTTTTTCTGGAACCGTGTATATCGTGTTAATGCAGCTTTCACTTGTGATTTTATCATCGTTGTTTTTATATCTTCTTCACGGTGAGGCTTAATTAATTATTTATTTTTTGCCTTTAATTTAATAAACCGTATTTGTTTATATACTCGCTCTTCTGCATACCTCTAATGAGTACCCCGACCGATATATGCTACCTTGACTTGGTGCCCGGGCTTGCACATCACTATGACCCAACCAGCTATGCTGGTGGGACATTTGTTCCCTCGAGGTCCTACCATACCAGAAAGGTCTATTGGATTGTGGTTAGACGAAAAGCAGTTACTGTTGTGGTGTAAATTACTACACTATAATAGGGATGTGAGGGCGAAGTCGTACTGCTGCTAGGTGGATGAGGTGTGACAGGAGTAAGGTGTTTCTCTTGGATAACCAGGAGTGTCGTGCTGATACTGCCTTCTCAGTGGAACGGGGGGGGAGTTAGAAAAGGTCGGTCCCAAAAATAACACACTTCACCATGCCCCATGGGGTGGCCGGGCCGGCGGTGTTGGTTCATTTGTCGTTTCCTTTCGACCACCCGACCCAAAAACGACAAAAGTTCAAAACACGCATACATAAAAGGCTGCGTGTGACAGCCCCAAGCAGATGTCCGACGGGCTCTGCGGTCACACAAATCTCTTTCAGGTACCTTAAGAAGGAATAGCCTTCCACGGTGTGGGCAGTCGGGAAGTGTCAACCGCCCTCACAACTCTGTCAGCACTCAAGTTTCCTCAGACTGCTATCCACCTCCCCTATCATTACCTTCTAATCTTCCTTCACGTCTCTCAACTAACGATACTACATCATCTTCAATTTCTCCTAGCTCTGCAGCCTTTGACAACGATCTGAATCGACAGAACAGCAGCATTCTTGGTCTTCTTAAACCACGCTCCAAATTACACATCGGAGTCCTCAATGTCCGCACCCTCCGTCAAATTGATCACCAGGCTTCGTTGGCCAAGACTAGCAACTCGAGGCATGGACATGTGCTGTGTTTGGGAGATACGCATATAGCACCCAAGTGCGGTTGTTCACCTGACCTCTCCCGGCCAATCTGGCGAATCTGCAAAATTCACCCTTCGAGTTTTTCGAGATGGCACAGTGAGAACTAAAAGGAATAGTAAGACTCGCCGCTGTCTGTTTGTAATCTCTGCTCACGCACCCACTAACTGCAGTTTGGATGAAGTGAAGGACGAGTTCTACCTTAAACTGTCTAGCCTCCTTTCGAAAGCTAGACGTTCAGACGTGGTGGTTGTTGCAGGTGACTTCAATGCACAGGTTGGTAGACTGAGTTAGGCAGAAAGGCACTTGGGTGGCACTTTCAGAGTCCCGGCTGAACGAACAGATAACGGTGATCGCCTACTACAACTGTGCTCAGATAACTGCCTATTTTTAGCTAGCACAAATTTCAGACATAAAGAAAGACACTGTCTGACGTAGTGTCCACCGAGCTCAACTCAGCGATGGGCATAGATAGACCGCATTGCTATTAGTCATCGGTGGAGAGGGTCGGTGGGAGGCTGGCGCTCCTTCTGAAGTACGTTTTTGAATAGTGACCACGCGTTGGTCCGAGCTCGTATATGCCTGCGCCTCAATGGATGTAAGAGAAATTTGGCAACAAAACCACTACGAGTGCTGCTGGACAATGAAAACACCAAAGCTATGTTGAGTGAGAAATTGGCTAGGCAGTTATCATCGTAACAGAAGACTATCACTCACTCATGCAGAAGAAGCTTGGTGCCATCTGCAGTCTGCTGTAAAAGCAGGGCTGAAGACCGTAGCCGACTCTGAAAGAGTGGCTGAAATGAGCAAGTGGATATGAACAGCTTCTTCCGAAGTAATGGATGGACGTGAACGCATCCCTGCAAGCCCCGAGTATGATGAAGAGCGAGCGCAACTTAGAAGTAGATTGAGAAAAAGTCTACGCAACGACCGCGAACATTGGTGGGCAGTGGAGGCTAAAGAGATGGGAAAGGCAGCGGGGATTGGTAACAGTAGACAGTTGTTTCGACTTATAAGGGAAACTGGGGAAAAGGTCAACAACAGTTAGTGAGACCATAGCGGAGAAGGACGGATCTGCGATTCGCTCGCAGAGGTGGCGACTGGAACGATGGACAAAGCACTTTGAGGAACGGTCTAACTGGCCTCCAGCCACCATTGCGTTGGCCGCTACCCAGTCGGATCCTGAATGGAACATTGAGATAGGCACCCCAACACTAGTAGAAGCCGAGAAAGTTGTAGGTAAGGTGAAACGAGGAAGGGTGGCAGGACCAGACGGACTGGCTCCAAAGGTATACAAGGATGGTGGTAAGGTTCTCTTAGTCATGTTAACGGAAGTGTTAACCAGTATGTGGGAGTCAAATACGATCCTCTGTGACTGGTCTAAATCACTGATTATTCCAGTCTTCAGGAAAGACGAGAAGTCCTCTTGTGATAACCACAGAGGAATCAGCCTGACGAACATAGTATCCAGGATCCTAGGTTCTATAATTCTTCGACTCCTGATTGGAGCTTGGGAACGACAAGCCCGAGAAGACCGGGCAGACTTTAAACCCGGCCCCAGGGTGTATCTACCGGTTATTAATTAGGGCTACTGGAGTGGGCCTAACAAAATCTGCACTGATTTCAGGATCACTGATGCAGAGATAAGCAGTGACTATTGAAAAGTCCAAAGCAAAACTTCGGATTTGTTGCGTCATCGACAGGTTTGTCATTATCGAGAAAATCGAATTTGAAAACCCCTTCAGCATCATCAACCAAGCATTTCAAGGTATTCAGTTGACAAAGGAAGCTGACGAAGAAAGGAAATCGCATTCCAGTATGTTCTTATCAAAAACACACATGAAATATCACAAACTAAGCTATACAGGAGACTAATGCACACCTAAGCCAAGTTTCGAACTGCAACAGTAACAACGCAACATCTCGTAAGCAGAGCTGTATACAGACATTATTCTCACGCGTCAAGATTCCTCGCAGCATTGAATAATAGTGAACATCCTGTGTAAGCTAAAGTATCGACTTTTCAAAGAGGATGAAATCACTATAGTCCAGAATAATGGTTGGAAGGAATGTCAACATGACAATGGTAGCTGATCCAGCTGTCGAATAGAGTAAAGAATTTGTGAGCAACAAGTTGCAGTCGAAAGATGACATTTCATCATTCATTTCGATGCATGCAAAATGATGCAGCCAAGACTTCGGTTCAGATAACATGAAAATAATACAAGAAAGTTTCAGAGGTGCAAGAGAGTTTCTGTAAGCTTCTCTAAACAAATGGCAGTCAATAGAAACAAATACTAATACAGTATACAGACAGCTCAAAGGAGATCAACCAAATGAAAGTAAATCAACAATCGGTCATACGGTCAACGCCATAAGTCAAATAAAAATTACAGTTATAAATGTCAACCTCTGATAAAGAAGAAACGTTCATGCCTATCCACGAGATAGTAGCGATCGGTGTTGATAAATATCTGAAGTAAACACTGATGCAGCCTAGTAGTACATCACTACATGAATTCAGTGCTAGAGGAGTCATCCAACCTGGTATTAATGTGTTGGAAACAAACTGAAGGGCACGAGGAATCATAAACATATATCATTTCCATCCACAGGGAAACTCCAAATTCACAATTCTCTGAGGGTGCTCACTACAAACAATCAATAGCAGATACTTGAATCAGCTACCTGCTTTTACTAATTTGAACAAAATTTCAGGCACAAGAGGTAGTGCTTTGCAGAAACACGTTTCCACCGAAGTTAAACAGTCATATTTATGTACCCCGTTTCACAACTGTCCCCAATTTTCCTCAAATAGATGTCAAAGTGTGCACATGGATGCTGATCACACTCGCTACACATCAAGGATCTCGAGCGAATACTCTTTTCAAGTTTCATTTTATCCGCATTTGAGAATCCTAAGTTTCTTCGGACGGATTTGACTGATATTTCATTCATCAGGACAAGTGAGGAATCTGACTAACTTCAGGGGGTAGTGAACTGCACGAGGTGATTTCATTTAGTCAGACATTCTCCGTTCATCATGTGATAAACTGCAGGTCATCCATCACTCTCTCAGTAGGGATTTGGATGCAGCATTTCACGGTTGACTTAAAACAATCTGGATATCTTCTTCCCTGTCCATATGTGACTGAAAATGTTCGAAAGTATTCCTACCTACTAACCAGAAGTATACAGACGAAGCCTCAGCAAGGAGCATGAACTGATTTATGAGTAGGATTTTGTAAATACAAGGTTTATATTTTTCGTGAAAATCAGAATACTAGTGCTCATATTCTGTAGTGATTTATACATGATTGGTTCAATGGTATGGTACAGTAACTACAATATCTACGGCAAAGTATCAGGTACTGCATCATTCCCGGGTCAATTTCTCAATCTCTGATGTTTTTCAACGATTTATATGTTATGCATAGTAATTTCGCAGCTTTTCCCAATGCAGTTCACCTCTCACACAGAAGATAGGAAAAAGTAAAGTATTCCATGACGTTAGCAGTTAGTCATTTGTGAAAAGCAAACATCTTTGCCAATTATCCACCCACGTAATTCTATAAAATGAACGGAGTAATGCGGCTGTAAATACTCTCAACATCTTCAGATATATAATATATAATAACGGTTTATCGACTACAAACAGTCGTTATGGCTTCAGCATAATACAGTTATACATACTGACATGATCATTTCATTGTTAGATAGATGGTAGACATTGAACATGATTCCTGCTTCCTGTCAACTTTCTAATCATTTTCGCCGTTTTCAATTCAATATTCGAATGATTCGCAAAAGAGATCTGTAGTTTACGGAATATGAAAATCAATGACATGGTGAGTGGGCAGGCAACAAAACTCCGAATAATCCTTTAAATGGTCATTAGGTCTAATCTCTGCATCACTGATCCTGAAATCAGTGCAGATTTCGTTAGGCTCACTCCACTAGCCCTAATTTGTTTAACGATCTTTCTGTTGAACTGATATAGTGCTTTCAGACGTACGTTGATTATTTCTACCAGGTTTGTAGTACGAATTTCCGGTCATCCAGGTGCTTGGCAAGATTCGTATTCACCAGTTGATAAACGGTCTCGTCA